TTTAAGATGGTTGTAATACAATACTGAGCAGTCTAGTGATATTTGTGGAAACACTTTTATATACTTACGCAGCAAGAAACATACTGGCAGCTCCAACTAGTTGTAATTTGCTTCTGAGAACACTCATTGAAGAAAGGAATCTGTCTATGTAATTTACTGCTAAATATAAAGTCTCGTTGTGTAATTTGTACTCTTCTGCTACTTCCACCAACCAATCTACAAGTATACATCTCATGCTAGTGGTGATGTCTGGTTGCTTCTTCATGTAATTTGCTTTAGGTCTATTTCTTTGCTATAAAAAAAGAATGAAGAATTTATTAAGGTTATTTTTTTACTACTGTATTTGGTTGCTTTTGATTTTAAATTGACCAATACCGAAATTAAAGAATCAACAGGAAGTGTGTACTCTCGTTTCACTCGTTAAAATTAAAACTTGTGCATTTACAGTATACCAACCTCTGCTTCTTTCAAGTAACTAAATATATCTTTTGCATAGTCTGGTACAAAAAGTTGTGAATCAGCCTTTGCGTCAAGATCGAATTCAATTCCTAGTCTGTCAGTTTCACATATTTGTTCAATGGAGGTGTCCAATACCATTGGCGACTCTGCTTCAAGGAAAGAACAGAAAAAGGTGTCAATTTGTTGTCAAAAGCAAAGACACTAAAAAATAGTGTCTTTGTCAAAAGTAAGGCGTGCAAATTTATTCACACGAGGACAAAGTCCTTGCGACTTGTACACGTTTTGACAAATCATACGTCTGGGGGGTCAACGATCTAGAAAACAAATTGAATTTTTCATAACACAAAACGTTATTTTTTTTAATTATGTGCTAGTTATCGATAGACTAGCTATCAAACATTAGTGCCACCATAACAATTGCACTTGACTCAAGCATGTTCGCAACACGTTTTTTCTTTGTAATCTTGAAAGGATTCGACAAGGAAGACGTAGTTTTCAAAATGCGATAAAATACAACTGACATTAGATAGGGTTTAATCTAGAAGAGGAAAAAAAACTAATTTTTACGCATTATGTTGCGTGACGCAAATTGAAACAAAGTGACAACAACTTCGAATCTTTGTCGCAACAAGTTAGCAAAAATAAAACCTTACCCTCTGGCTCCACTGGCGGGAATGCACATTGTAACGAGTCTCCGTTTCTTAGATTTACTACCGCAGGATTCAAATGAAGAGCACTGTCTACTTGGTCGGATCCAAAGCAGTCCTGGTCGACATGAATTGAAAATCCTTGATCAGCAGTTGCTATTTCAAACGCTCCTCCTTTTCCAGCACGATTTGCCAAGTTCTCAGTTTGTACAGTACTAAAATAACCATCTGACGTTGTGGCCTGTAAAAAGAACAAGTCGTGTTAACATGAATTTAAAATTAACGTTTTTAGCGAGCTACGATAACTACAAAAATACACGAAATGTGAACAGCTGGGCAGCCATGTTTATTGTTATTCAATTCAAACTGACCTTTGCCGCGCGGAACGGTTGTACTCTTGTTGTATTACCGGTTATTGTCCCCAAAGCGGCTCGTTTGCTTGCATGTGGGGCGGTAATCCTGCTTGGTCCATCTTCTCGCTTGTTTTTCCTTGCCATGGGGTTTTGATTTTCGAACGACGTCGCTGTTGAACTTGCGAGAACACCACTGGCATTGGAACTAGCACCTCCGAAATAGGACATGTTGCACCAAGATCGTAACGGCTCTAGTCTAAGTAGAATAACTTATATTATGCTCGAAAATCCCGGGAAGGAAGTCGATGGAAAATTCGTGAATAGTTGCTTGAATATCTACTGAACGTGCACACGAATTGATGGTAACGTGCCACGAAAGATTTTAAAACGAGAGCTGGTACAGTATTTACAAGGTTCGAACTGAGCAATGACTGTTGATTACACTGAAGCTTATAACGAGTGTGGAATCATTCAATTTACCCGCTGCAACTGACATCAACCAATAAGATTACAGGACGTAGTCACGTGGGTGAATGGTGAATACCATCCACAGCAGGGGTCATGCCTGTCATAAAGTGGGATCACTTCCCTAAACATGAGAACTAATTTGTAGTTTTGTTAACGACGCTTGAATAAATATTTTAAATATAAATTATGCCACTCTGTTGACTTTATGTGGTATTATACGACTATACGACACAGTTTAGCCGAACATCGATCGGTTACCCATTGACCGAAAAATGAACGTAACCGTCTCAGACGCTGTGGGCATGGCATGACGTAACCAACAGGTGGATGGAATTTTGGAATTATGCAACTGTTTCTTTTTATTATTCGAAAATACCACCTGGAATGCTATTCACTTCGCATATTTCTGCCAATTCTGAAGTTTGTAGTTTCGATGTCCCTTTGACTGAAAGTGTGGTCTCTACAGTCTGGCCACATACTGGACCGGAAATGTCCAACTTGAAGAACTCACTTCACCATGAATGTGCCAACGAGTCGCTCTCTAAATGCTGTTTTTGTCCATGCGTTGTTGGTAATAAATACATGTATTATTTTTTCAAGTACGGTACATATATATCCAAATCTACGATAGTTTCACCATGGATGTACTAAGTATGTTCTTAGTACATCCATGGTTTCACCAACCGTTCATTTAATGGGCAAGTCGCCGAAAGCCCAGGCGGCAGCTTTTCATTTCTCAAGCATGTTTCATTTCGTGGAACATGGAGCTATCACACAAGGGTATAATCATTGTACATGCCAGATCGGTTGCTAAAAAGTTTGAAATCTGGAACTTGAATTGAATACTGCGTTTTAGGAGCGAATACAGTTCAGTTGCACCATGGATGTACATCCATGGTCGCACAATGGAATTACACCCAGGATGCTTCCATGGTTCCAAGTGTAAGGGTATGTGTCACTGTATTTTCCCCGATTTTCATGGCCCAGTCTTTTTGACCTTCCAATTTTAAGCTTTTCGGTCATTTTAGCAATATTTATACAAGTTTTTTTATTTTTGGCGAAAAACTCATTTTTTTAGTCAAAAGCGCCATCAACATTTTGTGCTAAATCCAGGCGAGTACAACCCAGCACAAGTTTTCTGGACAAAATCCCCCACATTCATAATATGAAACATGACATTCTCGTTGAAAATGTAACATTTTCAGGCATTCATATCGTGTGATTGATAATTGAACATAAATTGGAGGTAGTTTGGGGGAGTGATATCCGGGATCATATCGTTCTTCGAGAAATGGCAGAACCACTCGTTCATCGCAGTGACTGCGTCAAACGTCGACAAGAAAGTGTTACATTGTGTAAACTATTATTACGTCATTAGACGATGTATATTAAAGCTGTATTATCGGATATATTTTGTTAGTGGCATGTGACGTATTTTGGGAAATGAAAAACTTTGTCACTGTAACATTTACCCGGCGAAACACGCACGTCCAATCTTTGTCAGTTCATTTTCTCTGCAATTATTTTTTTTTTCAACTTGTAGTTCACGTTTCACATCTGTCTCGTAAAGTACTTCTAGATGCCCATTTTGTACCCACTCGCGCTCACTCAGCTATACTTTGACAACTTTCAAATATGCTGCTATCTTCGTCATGGGTTGTCTGTCCACTGTTCTTTTGACTTTTTAAATTGTGCCCCACCCCACCCGTTGTTAGATAGGTTACGCATGTGCAAAATAAATTGCATCGCGTCCGTCGGTAATTTCCCCAGTACCTCCGATAAACGCACTCGTATTTGGAACGCGTTTCGCGCATCGCATCACGGGAAAAAGTCGACATAGTACATTTGCATAACACAATTGAGTACTTGGTTGACGTTCTTCAGAGTGTTTTATCAGGTATTGACTTGTCAGAGGCTGTCCAAAATATGTTGAAATATTTGAGCGAATGCAAATGTTAATCTTATAACTTAGTTCTACCCATTTTAGCCGCTAGAAACGTGAAACAAAAATAGTATTAAGACAAGATAAGTCGTAGATGGGCAGAAACATAAATGGGCATTATCTGAACTGACAAGTTATAAAACAGGATGCTGAATAACACATATTTTCCCGGAAAAATAAGTTTATATGAGCAAACAGTTCCCATTCGGATTCTCTGTTGAACGAGGGTACTAATAAGAATTGTATTTCCTAACATTACTGGTATGTTTTGAGGTTTAATATATTGGCCAACCAGTATTCCATACATTTTGATGAGTTGATGTGTTCCGGTGACGTGTAAAAATGTACAACACAAGTTTGAATAGAGATGACAAATTTAACATAAAACAAACGTTGAAAGCACATGGGAAGAAAGCTTGTTGTGCTGAGCGTTTTCTGAAGCAGGATTCGAAACATTGCATGTCGGGATAGATCGGGTTCTAACGCGTG